ATCTCTGTAAGGCTCAGCCTAGAAGTATGCATGGATTACAAATCATTGGATTTCAATCTATGATTGGAAAGAGAAACCTGGCTTTTGAGTTGCAGGCACTGAGACCTCACAGTGTTATGACTGTCTGCAACACCAAATTTGGAGCTAAGAATGTGATCAGACAAATGACAGATATGCCATAAAAAGTGTGATAATTTCGTCTGAAATCTTGCAGGATTACAAACTTTAAGTGACCTACATAAGTACAGAATTTTAAGGTTGTAAATAGATAGCTATTCCCAAAAGCCCTAAGAATATCCAGGCTGACACTTCCCCCACCTCCTCTCACGTGTTGATTGAAACACAGAAGAGACTGGAGGAGAGCAGAGGAAAATCTACATACAAGGGCCACCTCCCCCTCTCTATTACCACAGCACTTTATCCAAAGTATTTAAATACTTGTTTCACGTACCATCATTCATCCCATCCTCAGTGACATAAAAGAGACCTGGAAGAGAACATAGATTTATCACTATCAATTAATTTTTTTCTTCACCAAGACATTTCTGTTCATGACTTTACTTATCATTGAATAAGTCACCTTCCACATGGTAACTATAGGGGGAAATACTGTTAAAATTTATTTTTCTTTTATCTAGCCACCTGGTCTTATGGAATTCCAAACAAATGGCATGAAGAGAATCTGGTCACCTCAATCTGTAAGACATTATAAAACAGGCAGGATATATATACANAAAAAAATATGTTCTTTTTTAATCTAAGTCCTACTAATTGGTTTATTTCTCAGAGCATAGACACTGTCAACACTTGAAAAAATATGCAACCATTTACTTAAAATCATGCCCTCTGGTTTCTTGCTAAGAAGGATCATGTGACCATCATGCGAGAGAAGCTCTCCAAAATCGATCTCAGATTCTCACCAAAACTTCTATGATTATCACCAAGACTTGCTCTCACAGTTACAACACCCCAGGTGAACAACCCCTGACCTTCCAGGGGGCCCTCCCCGGTTCACTTTGGCCTCTGATGAGTTAATATGTGCAACAGGACTGCACATGTTTGGGTAATTTACTTATTAAGAACATTAAAAGTTTTTGGCTCTTTGACATCCAAAGAAAAAGAAAAGCAATCGAGTGACTCCTGACCTTAGCTTATCAGATGACGGGTGTCATGCTGTCAAGGCCTCATCGCTGACCATGTGAGAAGGCCACATTTTATAGGTGTTTACAACAGTTTAAGGTTCATGCTGCCAATCTGTGTCAACACCAGGCGATGCAGGGCAACTAGCCGGTTAGTGGTGTCGGGCACAAAAAAAAAAACAATGGAGACAAATCCTTATCTTACTAAAGATCATAGCTTTTCTTTTATGTTGTACAGTTTTTTAAATCTAAAGGAACAAACAAAACAGAGGAAAGCAGTCTTCCCTTGTACATTTCCCTAGGTGCTAATCAATAGTTCAGTGACAATTGCTTTAACTATTTAAAGTACTACGGAGTTAGCAGTTACACAGCCTGAACTCTACAGGTCCCCGGAGAAGGTGTTCCCAACTTTTGGCTAACTCAATGAACTATTTTTATTTTTTTATGTTTAGCCACAGTGTTTTAAGAGAGAAGATTATCACTTTGTTCCAGTGAAAAGCTTAAGCAAGNGACAATTGCTTTAACTATTTAAAGTACTACGGAGTTAGCAGTTACACAGCCTGAACTCTACAGGTCCCCGGAGAAGGTGTTCCCAACTTTTGGCTAACTCAATGAACTATTTTTATTTTTTTATGTTTAGCCACAGTGTTTTAAGAGAGAAGATTATCACTTTGTTCCAGTGAAAAGCTTAAGCAAGCTTTTGAGCCAGTTTTGTGGAGTGTGCATGCATTGACGTGGTGTTTCATGCACACACATGCACCAAGTGCACCCTCATTTTATCTAAATTGCAGGCAATAGCAATACAATATCCCCATATAGTTGTTCTCTGTCTGGAGTCAGTGAGTCTGGGTTTAACTTAGGTGAAAATATGTTATTTTGGTCACTTCAGAAATGACCATATTTGAAGTGCATTTGAAGATTCTGGTTGATGAAGAAAAACATTTGTATAACTGAAATGTCTAATGTCCCATATCCATATTTTTTATCAGGTATCATGAGAGAATTTGAGAGCATCTGTGTCAATGTTTCATGCCTGAATACCTAGAAAACACTTCATTTGTGGGAGGTTAACTCTTCTGAACATTCAACTTTATCTTTTCTACTTTCGACTTTAAAAAAGCATCATGTACTAACAAAATCTTTGTGTAAACGATATCTCTCTAAATTAATGTCTTTAGCCTGACATACCACTAAATTCCATGGTTCTACCCTAAATCTAAAATCTTTAATTTAAATTTAATTTTTTGTTCATGCTGCACTCTGATGAAACTGAACTCAAAAGTGGATAATTTGGCATTACAACTTTGGTCCTATGAACACATACAGGGTAGGAGGTTCACTCACACTGTACTCAGATGCCTAATGAAAAAATTGGCTCCTTCGTTTGCCACAGGTCATCTAAGCCTTTTCAGGAAACTTTCTTCCCACATACACAACCCCTACAGAGCCCACTGGGTCATACAGGAAGAGAAGAAAAAGTTACCTTGCCAAGATTCAGAATGAGTGCCATCTTCAGTTGAAGGCGTCACTTTATAGTAACTAAGCTTCTCTCAGATAAATGCTCAGTTTGGGGGGCTTCTTCCCTTTCCCTCCTGCTCCTCCCTGAGATGGTGTCTGTGTATGAGGAAGTCTGTATCTTCAGGGCAGCAGGAAGAGAGAAGATCAGATTTACATGGTGACTCTAGATACATCCAACATCTGATAAGGATTGGCTGGTCTAGCCTGATGCCTGGACAGGCAAAATGTCTTTTCTCACCTGCTGATGTGTCATCCTCTAGTCTCAAAGGGTCCATGGGCCGTGGCATTTTAACTAATGTTAGCCCTCTGCTAGTGCATAGCCCAAACCAACACACCCACATCTCATTATGGAGGACTGTGGGAATGTCTGAGACTCAGTAGAACTCATGCTGAGCACAAAAGCAGTAGCCTTGAGTACATCTTTCAAGCCCAGATGTCACCATGTGGCTCCAGCATGAACCAGGCCTTTTATTGTGGTTTCCCAGACTGTGTATGAGAGTGTGCAAGGTCCCCTGCCCTTGACTCCTCTCAACACTTCTGATCATTTCTAACACAAATCCAGATCTGTTCCTCCTACTCTTCCCCCCATTATTTATTCTCCTGTTTTTCCTTTTGCCATAATGATAGAATTTTAGTTCTCCACATGGCTTCCCTGAATAACAATTACATTTTTCACCTTGTTTTACATCTAGGTGGTCAAATGACTCATCAACGGGGTATACATAGTCAAATTTGGAGCATGGCCTTCTTTACCTCTTTTTTTCTTTACTGGCCGGGATGCAGATGAGGTGGACAGAGCTAGAGTAGCCATTTTGGACCATTAGGCAGCCTTGGAATGGGGATCATGGTAGAGCAAAAAGACAGGTGAAGTTTGAGTCCCTTATACTGAGGAGTCCCATCCCATCCTTGAACTGCCCTTCTCCAGGCAACCACATGGGAGAGAAACATGTTTCTATTTTATTTCCTCCATTGCTTATATTTCTCATCACTCAACATCAAGCCTAATCCTGCCACTCACCTCTGTTTCCTCCTTTCTCTTACACTCTACCTGAGTCCAAGGGGAAATTTCTCTCCATCATCCTGCCTTGTAGAGACGTCCTTTCTTGAGGAACCCTAAGTCTCATGGCTCAGCAGTTTTGACAGAAGCGAGGGTTCTCCTTTCAAGATACAGATGATCTCATCTTCCAGGTCTGACTCCTAAGGACTTAACCAGAATTGAAAGGAATTTAGAAAGTTATTTCCCAATAAGGTTAACTTGCTACAAACTCAACAAAATCCTATACCTGGTGGTAAAGGCTAAGTGTTGTGTCCATCTTTCTTTTGTAGTCCCATTGGAATAACTGTGATCCTCCCAGAGGTAACTGAGTATTACTTATGAAATGGGGTCGGCGGAAGGGGTGGTTGTGGGAAGGTAAGTGGGAAATCATGCTCCAGGGAAAGGGGAAAGAAAGGACATAAATATATGTTTAAATATCATCACCATTCAAATATGCATGTATG